AGGATGCACATGGGCGCCCCTGAGCGCGGCGGTGCACCCCCTGCAAAAAGGCGCCACTGCCGGTGGCATCTGCAGGCGGTCCGTGGTTTCCTGGGGTCTGGACAGAAAGGGGGGCCGAAAACAGTAATTTAAAAATGATTATCAGCAAAGGGGGGGCCCTGACACTAAAAGTTCACCGTCTAGATACAGTGCTGTTTGGCAGCCGTGACTACAGGTGGGGAAGTTGCCTGCAGACCATGCAGCACAACGCAACACCTTGCATGAGCGGGTTGTGCAGTGTAATATAAACATAGACGGACAAGGAGAAACAAGTGTGACCATGGGTGCGGGAGCAGGCAAAAAGGCCAGGTGGGCAGGTAAGTGTGTCCCCGGGGCAGGATAGGGCCCTCAACTGAGGGTAGAGGTCTCAACCTTCCTAGACTCCAGCCCCAACGTCCACACAACTGTTACCTTTAAAAACCCACCAGACTACTGCATACATTGGATTCAGCATCACATATTGATTTTAATGAATATGATTTATCTCCTGGGTGACTTTCAGCAGCGTCCTGGGGCCTTGTATGTAATGCCTACATGCTCCAGGGGGGTCGACAACCCTAGGTCCATCTCCTGTGCGCCTCTGACAGGGCTGCAGGGTGCTCTGAGGGAATCTGAGGCACAGAGGGAAGCCCCAAGCGCCATCAAAAGCCCTGTTGGTTGAAATAAGTTTCATATCTTAAGGATCTGCGTTTTGATTTGACTAGGGGTGAAATCTTTGCAGTTAGAGTTCAGATCATATTTTGCAAGACACTGAGGGAATCAGGGCTAAGACTGGAGGACCCCAAGGGGGCAGCGCGTCCACGCTGGGGTGCAAATGGCTTCTCCAGCAGTAGGGAGCAGCCCCATGACGGCTGGGGCGTGTGTGCCAGCACCTCCCTCCCTCCACTGCCGTGCTAAAAACGTCTTTCGTGCACCCTCCTCTTGCTGAGGCCCGCCCGGAGGCTGCCCTTTATCTCCTTCTCCAACTGCCTCCGCATGCCCCGCCCCTTCCCCGCCTTCTCGCTTCCCATTGGCGGACGCGTCCCTCTCTGACGCCCAATCCCGGCCCGCAGCGGTTCCCATGGCAACCGTACACTCAGCGGCCCGGGTCGCGCGCGCTGTGGAGTCACCCTGGCGCCATGAGCGGCCGCGGCTACAGCTACAGCGCGGGGGTGCTGGTCGGCAACTGGAACGAGGACGTGTGTCTGGAGGAGGTACCGGAGCCGGCCCCCGCCACCTGCCGCCCCGGGGCCGAGCGGGGAGAGCATCGGGCTGCTGCAGGGCGGCCGAGCCCGGGCGCAGCTGCGCTGTAGCTGGGGAAGGAACTGGGAGGCAGGGGCAGGGAAGTGGGATGGGGTTAGGGGGTAGCTTCCAGAAGGCCTTTCCCCAAAACATAGGAGCCTTGTCAAACCTGGCAGAGCCCCGCTCACTCTCCCCCTCTGTGTGGCAACAGGGCCTTCTGAAAGACTTTCTGCACAAGAGGGAGCGAGGAGAACTTCTGATCCAGAAGTCGCGGAGCCTGAAAAATAACCTGCTGAAGAAGGTAACGGTTTCTCCAAGCCAGCCCGCTCGTTCTGGACCTCAAACACAGTAGACATGTGCAGCCCTACTCAAGCCGTAACAGATGCTATCCCCCCCACCTCCCCTTTGTTGCCCTTGTATTGCTTTGGGACAATCCTCCAACCCCCCCCCGCCCCGCTCCCATTTGTTGCTTTGGGACAAACATGACTTACCTGCATGTCGGTTAAGCGAATACAGGCAGTCCTTGGACTTACAACACAATTGGTTCCTGAAAACTACATCTTAAGTTGAAATGTCATAACTCGGAACCAATTTTCTCATAAAAAACAATGTTATAAATGGGGGGTTGGTTCCTGTACCAAGGCCCGATACCCTATTTTCACTAAAAATACCCCCAGATCAATTATAGATGAGTAATATAGCTACATTAATGTCTTTATATTGTAAATAGCAATCATATTGATTTGTAAGGACTTCTTTGAGGTGACTTTGCTGGACTTTTTGAAGGGCTCTTGGCTGGAGTCTTCTCAGGCATCCTGGCTGCACGTTTTTTTGGAGTCTCGTCTGCTTTCTTAAAGAAAGTGTCCAAGGAAGTTTGGATAGATGTTCTCCAGGGAGATGAGCGATGCAGTGACCTTGTTCGCTGGCATGGCATTGCATCGAATCAAGCTTTGTAAAGTCAAAACTGACATCATAAAGTTGAAACAGGGTGTCAATTTATAAATGTTGTAAGTGCAAAACATCGTAACTCCAAACGCTGTAAGTTGAGGACTGCCTGTACACTGCTTACGGGCAAAGCATCTTTCAGCACCACTGCCTGTTTTGTCATTCTACTGAACTCCAGTTCAGGGAACAGGAACTGTAATTATTTCCTTTGTAAGAAATTGTTTTCCATGTCATATTTTCATAGACATTAGGGGCTGATTGTTTCTGAAGCAGCTAACGGGAAGCTGCTGTCCACAGGCTGCTCTGGGAAGCCTTGAAGATGACAGGATCTAGTCACCCTAGGGTTTCTCTCCTGTTATTTTCAAGGCTTCTAAGGATGCTATTACAAGCCTTTGAAAATGAAGGGAGCGGGTTAGTTTCAGGACTGCTTATACTGAAGAACTGAGGGAGCTGTAACCGCTGTTCACTGAGCACTGTGCGCCATCAGCAGTGTGCTATTAAGGGCTGCGTTAGAAGAAAGGAGGGTTATTTATTTATTTTTTTGTGGGAGGGAGGATAGTATCTCTTATTGGAGCAACTGGATAACTGGGAGAGGTATTACACATGTTTTCAAGCAAAGTGCCCTTCTTCAGGTCTGGGAAAGAAGCAGAGACCACCAAAGCTAAATACCAGCTAATACAATGCATTTTGTTTCAGTTCGTTTCAGGGCTTCTATTATTTTTCAAGGTTTCTAAATAGCAGTCCCAAACTAACTGTTAGAAGCTTTAAAAATGAGGGGAGCTAGTCAGTTTGAGGGCCACTAATACTACAGCACCAACACTGAATACTCAGCTGTTTACAGTAAGTGTGTCTAAGTGCATAATACAAAGGCTAAAAACACAGTAGTCCCAATACAATGTACTTCATTTAAGTGTGTAGCGCTGGGACTGAAAAAAGGCTATGCAGTTGAATGGAGTATGGTGTATTGGGACTACTGTGGTTTGTTTTTGAAATTCTTTTCACGCTCAGAACAGAAGGTCAGTCTTTTTAATCAAATCATTTTATACTGAAATATGTACATCTTAAATTAGATCCCGCTATCCATTTCTAAGGATGGATTTGTTCACTTTGGAGACACTGTGATGCTTGTGAACCCCGATAACAACAAATCACCTATGGAGAATTACCCTGCAGTGTGCGGCAATCTATCTCTGGCAGTGCTTCCAGATGAAATAGCAGTGCATACAGCCGATTCATTACAAGCCCCCTGTGAAGTGAGCGCCATCAAAAGCGTGAACCCTGTTGGTCGAAATACATTTCGTATCTTAAGGTTTGGTGTTTTGATTTGAGTAGGGGTTAAATCTTTGCAATAAGAGTTTAGATCTCATTTTGTGAGGTAGGCAATGAAGTTTGGTGAGATTTAAATTAGCATATAGAGTAATATTCTGCTTATTTCAGATGGATGACTTAACTTTTATTACTCAGCTATGCTTCTATACCACTTGAACCAGTAATTCCAATGAAGTCATCAAATTACAATCAGTGTAAAACTGGTGAGAGCGCTGAATCAGGCTCACTTTATTTTTACTAAACTATCAAATAGCTTTAGATTCAGTAAATGGCCAGCTTTTTATTACTACAGAGCCAAACATCAGTCGTCAAAACATTTCCAAATATCCAATAGTAATCTCATAAGTACATTCTAAGCATTAGTTATTTTTTCTGATCACTATTTTGCATATAAAGATCCTGACACATGATTGTTACATCTTACATCTTTCCTGCTTATGTGCAGGCACACAGAATGTGCACAAGGCCACTCTGTCACTAAATGTACACAATGTGGACTGTTATCTTTCTATAGTTCCTGAAAATGTTACAGATGATGATGGCACACTTAGATTGGAAACTGTTTAGGATAGAGAGACTGCCTTGTTGCTAAGAACAAGCATAGAAGGGTTGTAACCTGTGACTAGGCTGCATAGCAGTACCTACATGCATATATTTAACAAGAACAGCAGTAGCTAATATTACAACCTGTTCTCCACAAGCCTAATTCAGCAAAGTCCAATGGACTTAGGCAAAATTTAGGTACCTTTATTCTAAACCTGTGATTCAAAAACTCCATGGTCAGCTGTTGCCTATCCTTAGAGGTTCCTGTACTTGATAGGTACTTCATTCTAACTGTACATTTTCCCCATGTGCCTAGAGCTGTGCCTCTAGGTAGCCAATCACACCACAGACAGAGATGTTGAGGTTGGTCAGTATAACTGTATTGCCTCATTTCCAGATCTGCTGTGAGCAAGGAGGAGTAGTGTAGACATAACCTAAGAAAATTAAGTGTTGCCCTCCTACTGATATTTAAACATCCTACCTCCTTTATGCTTTTTCAAAAATCACAGCCTGGACTGATGTCTTTAAAAAAAAATCCAACATTTCCTAATACATTTCACAGCAATAACCTTAATAAGGCTCACCTATAAGAAAAACAGTTCTAAGCACAAAAAAGAATCACTGCAGATTTCATATTTATTTTTCCCCCCTCTGTTTTAATAGCACAGAAGGAAATTCAATGGGTGAACCCATTAGATTTGGACAGAATTTTGGTCTGGGAGCAACAGGGGGTTTTGCAGATCAAATGGTAAGTCAGAACACGTGTAGACTACAACTGGAGAACATGTCTGTACTGTAAAATTCAGTTACTGTAGAGATTCCATGCACTGTTTTTTCCTGCAAGAATATATGCAGCAGTTATACTAAAAATGAATTGTGCTGAACCTGTGGCAATCAGTGTGCTGAGAAGAAATAATCTATACATAGTAGGTCACTCAAAATTATTATAGTGCACACACATTGGCCAGATATCCCAGGTTTGCAGAACAGACCTCAGGTCAGATTTTAATGTAGATTACTCCTTCGTAACTGCAGAGCAATTCCAGTGAAAACTGCACCCGTATAATTGTGATAAGAATCTGGTCTCTTTTCTTGAGCAGTAAGAGTGACTGCCATTTTGTCATTGCATAGCATCCCAAAAAACTGCAGCACAGTAGCACCTCTCACAACAATTAAACCATCTGTTTTCATCCTACCAACATCAGAGTTGTTCACAAGGGAAGTGAAGTTCTTTTCCCGCATGCTGAACAAAAAGAAGCACGCTGCACAAATACTTGAAGCAGTCTCTGGTTGGGAGATGAGGGCCAGATCTTCAGCCCATCTTAACTTCCCTTTTTACACTACTCCTTAAACAAGCAGCAGGGAATTTCTTTATACAAAACACAGGTCGAAAAACCTTCCTGTCCTTTAATCCAAAATACTCTGTTTAGAGATTTTTACTTTGTAAGGTTATGCCTCAACATATG